TCCAAAATCCATTTTTGTGTGGGGGGGTTGGGGGGGGGAGATGACAAGAAGCCAATTATACAGCAACAGTATCTCAGTCAGTCCCTTGACATTATCATAACTCAGGCTAATCAACTGTAACTACCTCAGTCGTTGAGACCAAATTAGCTGCCGTTTGGCTCCCGCAAATACAATTAGTGTCAAGAAAGCTTTCCTTGGGAATGCCGCATGTGGTGCAAATCTGAAGCATTCACAAACATATGTTTAAAAAAAAAAAAAAAAACGGAATACAATACAACTTTATTGATATCACGCTTTCACAACTGCTGCAGCTGTAAACAAAGCACTTTGCCTCCATCCATCCATTTTTTGAGCCGCTTTATCCTCACAAGGGTCGCGGGGGGGGGGGGGGGGCTGGAGCCCATCCCAGCTGTCATCGGGCAGTAGGCAGGGGACACCCTGAACTGCTTGCAAACCAATCGCAGGGCACACATCGACGAACAAGCATCCGCGCTCACACTCACACACCGAGGGACAACTTAGAATCTTCAATCAGCCTGCCATGCATGTTTTTGGGATGTGGGAGGAAACCGGAGTACCCGTAGAAAACCCACGCAGGCACAGGGACAACATGCAAACCGCAGAACATTTAAAATACTGCGCCCCCCCCCCCAAATTATCCGAATATTGATCGATAAACAAAGCGCATCGGAGTATAAGGCGCACTGTCGGCTTTTGGGAAAATGGAATGCTTTTAGGTGCGCCTTATAGTGCGGAAAATACGATATTTGTTAAAAGTGTATACTGCCCAAAGACAGCTGGGATAGGCTCCAGCACGCCCGCGACCCTCGTGAGGATAAGTGGAAGTAGAAAATGGATGGATGGATTTTCAAGTCTACCTGTGTTGGTCAGAAGGAAATATATATCGGGTTTAATCAAGAAAAACTGCATCCAATTTGAAAAGGTCTCTCATTTTGTGTGTGCACATCCAGTAACAAGCGGGGATCCTTTAAGCTACGCTGCATGGACAAAAGGTTCCGGAAAAACTTAACAAATGATTCAAAAGAGGAGGGGGGGGGGAGGCGCTAATGACCTCTCTGAGCCCCTCTCACCAAGGCTATATGGAGAACGCGCATGACTGTGCACCAGAAACGTCCATGAAGCCACGCTTGCATGAGTACGGAAGAGCTTGCCGGGCCTAATCAACCGCATCCAACACCTTTGGGGGGGAACTCGGAATTAGATTGCGAGCCTTCGCCGACCTTGCACCTCACAATTGGATGAATGTGCATCATGTAAAAAGTCATCCCAGAAAAGATGGAACGTTAACTCCCTTATGTTCCTTTTTTGTGCGTGTGTGCGTGTGCGTGTGTGTGTGTGTGTGTGTGTGTGTGCCAACACCTTTATACAAATAGTGTAGATGCAGGCAATCTTTTTGCTCTGTCAAATATATTTCATTTGGGAACTTCTTCGTCGTTTGAAACAGCGAACTGCATGACACGACGCCACATAAGTGTTCAACTCCTCGGTAGCTTTCATTTTTGTCATGAAGCAACACAAAGACGCACACGGACTCTTTTTTGAGTGAGGTGAATGTGATTCCTTGCGGGACTTTTGGAAATGTGCACAGGCTGGTGCATGGTGAGAACAAAAAAAAAAAAAAAAAAACAACAACCAAAAAAAATTCATCTGTCTCACCTGAGTCGCAGGACCAAGTTGACAGCACTATGAATGTAGAGCGAATCCCCAAACGGCTCCACCTGAATGAGAACAAGTGAGATGGGGAATTGGTACACATGTACTCTACATTTGCAGTCTATAAACAATAAATAAATAATAAAATGTGCAATACAGTGGGACCAAAATAGAAGAGGAACAACCGAACGCGATGTACGGCGCACGATGAGCGGGTAAATCGTCCACTTCCACAATCTCAAACAAATGCCGAGGTTGGTTGGCTGTAAACTTGGCGATGACGTCCGACAGCATTGTGTGTGTCACGGTAGACATCTTTACCACAACACAGATCTGCGTCACACTTGCCATGTGTGAAGCTGAAGGCGGAGTTTAGAGGGAAAGACGCTCAACATTTCATTTGAAAGAAGGACTACAGTATACTTAATTTCAAAATAAAATAATTACGGGGCGTATTTCATCAGACAAAAAAAAAATTCAGATTGCAGAAAATTCACAACGCCTTAAGTCTTGCTGCACATCTCAAATGAGCGTATCAGAGGTAGAAAATGCCATGTGATGGGTAGTTAAATGTCTGATGGGAGCACAAAACGCCTCCCCAACCTGCTGCGGTTCATTTTGCAAATGACAAAGCCCTTTGGAAATGGCTCATAATAGCGCTGAGACGGTAACGGCAGCGAAAATTTCCAGTCAGACCGAGTCAGACGGACTGCGACTTATTACAGTTGAGTGCATCCCTCCAGGAGTCGCACGTGCACGTGTTAACGTATGCAAAAAAATTCACACAAAAGGCGCTCAGACAATAAGCGCGGCGCCGAGGTCACCGAGTCAGAACAAATGAGTGCAGCTGCTGCACGCTGACGTCCCTCACCTGCGGATGGTGGCTGGATAACCCATCAAAAGGAACATTCTTGACATTCTCCTCGTTCTGCAAGTGACAAAATGAGACGGATGGCTGTGAAAATGTTCCGCGCGCACGCACGCGCGCGCGCGCGCGCGCACGCACGCACGCACGCACGCGCGCACACACACACACACACACACACACGCACGCGCGCGCGCGCGCGCGCGCACGCACGCACGCACGCACGCGCGCACACACACACACACACACACACACGCACGCGCGCGCGCGCGCGCGCGCACGCACGCACGCACGCACGCGCGCACACACACACACACACACACACACCAATCAAGTATGGACTCATCCCATTAAAAGTTAATTGACAGCAATCAATGCGCAGCGATGCGCCGGTTCGGCTCGGTTCGAACCGGCGCTCGGACTGTTGAGTTCAACAAATTCTGTTCAAATAGGAACAATAATTGCCTTTACAAAGCCATCCTTTTCCCAAGTGCTATCACCGCATAGAATTACTCCGGGAAAAGCAGACCTATTCATCTATGTCGTCTTTCCGCCAGAATACAAAGCAGTGTGCGTGTTTTAAAAAGAAACAAAATAAGAAGAAGAAAGCGAATCAAACTTACGACTTTGGAGTCGTCCTTGACCCGCCGTGACTGCATGGAAGAGAGAAGAAGAAAAAAAACGAATTCTATTTTTCCAGGCTGGGTCAAGTTGAGATTGCATTGTTTCATCGGCTCCACAATGCTTGGACATGATTATGCGAATGGCGGGGAAGGCAAAACCAGAATTTGGCAGGATCTTGGAAATAACAAAAATAGCTGTGCAAAAAAAAAAAATTGCATGCCTATGTTTTAATTATCACACGTCAAGCATATTTAGGAAATAAGTCCAGCGTTCCGTTTCGGGAAGAATTAGGTCGAATGAGTCAGATGGATTTTGAAAGGCTGATAATGGAAGCGGACACATTCCCTGCATGCTAAATTGTCGTGTTCGAGACATGAAGGTTATTCTCAGGAGGAAAGCATATTTGTGTGGTCACTTGGTCCGATTATTACCGCTGACAAGGACGCGATGATTTTATTCGTATGGGTTTCTTTGTCGCGCTCTTTGTGCGCCGCCTCTTTTTTTGTGCGCGCTTGATCGACTTCCAAAAATGTTCCGCTTGCCAACCGATTTTGGTGTGAATGCGCGCGTATAATGACATAATTAATACGCGCCTTTCATGTGGGAGAACATCTCCAAAATCTTATCAGGGATGAACAAAAGCTGCAAGCTGTGCGCAGGGTGCGAAACTGTCGTTTCGACTGGATACGAACCAGATTGCTCCTATGGCGCCAATTCCCCCTTTCACATTTTCAAACATCTGTCTGATCTCATCAGATCAGGTTGTAATTTGTTGTGCTTCAGCGGGGTGTTATCGATTTATTTTTTTTCCCCTTGGATCTGGATGAAACTCCTTTTAGCTTATTAATTTACTAGAGCGAAACCATTCGCTCATTGATTATGCAGGTGACAAACGTTCAATCCTTGGGAGAGCTGCACGCACGTCCGCGGTCTGAAATTTGTTAAGTGGATTTTCAGATGGCGATTGGATGCTCCCGTCCTATTAGACGAGTGGAATCGCAAAAAAGCGGACACCAAAAGGTGGCAACAAAAGGGACTGAAGATCAAAGTGCTCCTCACCCTGCCCTGGTTGACGGCCGCCTTGCCTTCCTCACTGCCTTCGTCCAGCTCGTCGTCACTCCATTCCCAGTCGCCGTCCTCCGTCTTGTGCAGGTGGCCGCTGGAGCCCGGGACCCGCCTCACCTACGCCGACAAAATCCATTTGAATTATTTGTGCCATAGATACTCACTCAAAGGCAAATACTTGTTCGCGCGGGATGTCAAAGGCTCCTAATTGAACATTCTACGGCATTCAGTCAGTCTATATGAACTTCTTCCGATGGCATTTTGGAGTGGCAGTAGATTGTGTTTCATTATGTGATATTTATATGGTGGATTTTTTTTTTTCCAAGTCTTTGTTTTGATGGATTGCATGCTCGATCAATATTCTGTAAACACGAATGCGCAGCATGCGGATCGACGACCTGAAAGTTACCATAAAATAATAACATGCAGATACGATTTGCATCATACTGACAAGTGTTTTCAAATTTTGCTGCGATTGATATGATATGGATATGATTCTGCCTCCCTTCAAGACGAGAGAAATGCAAGCGGCGCTTGGCTCATAAAGCAGCGGGGCGCTACAGTCGGCGATGGGAGCGCTACAGCGTTACAGGCAGCACACAAAACGGTAAGCGACTAGCGCCGGCTCGAAGCGACCATAAAGTTTAAAGAGGCGCTAGCCCTCTGGTGCTGCCAGCTAGAGTTTCCAAACCTGACATAGAACCCAGAGTCCCCCTGCTTCTGCTCTGGCGCCTTGAGCAAAAACAGATACAGATCGAGTCTCGGTGGGCATCCTGACTGACATTCACATCATAAAAAAAATAAATTAAAAAAAAAAACTGCCAGAAAAATACAAGGTTTGAATGAATTGGTCGAAACTTGTGACAGCATTTATTGAATATGTGTAGTGAAGGTGACTTATCAAATTAGTTGCTTCAAGATTGTCTTAGGGCTTCTCTTGTCTGCTCTCTTTAAATTATAGTCACCCCCCCCCCCCCCCCCCCCCCCCCCCCCAGGATATTGGCTTGGTGTAAGGCTGCCCTCTGCTGGCTAACACATCCACCCTTGTTTTACATAATACATGCATTGATACTCTTTAAACAACCATGCATGACACCTGCGAGTTCCACACCCCCAAAATATGCATAATTCTGAGTGTACTTAAAAATCCACAATATGATGATTATTATTATTTTTTTGTTCTTAATTTTATTCCCTCCGTAACAAGTACGCAGACGCATCGGTCTTGTCCTCTTTTAGACCCCTATGGCGCTTGTTTTCCCTGAGAGTAGCAATGCATGCGTTTACCACGTATAGAGAAAACCAAAACAGAAGAGGGCAGACCACAAGGGTGAAACACAAGAGTCGATATCTGGTTCATTCCCCGAAGGTAAGGACATTCAAGGTGCTTGTGGGAATGACTCGACTGAACAGATTTGGGAATGACTTGAATGGATCAGAGGTCACACCATCCTGGGATGACAATGTTCCAGGAGCATCGCCTGCCGCCGCCAGCTTTGAGAAATAGTTGCCGAGGATGAAATCTAGGCGGCAGCATTCGTCGAATCAGCACAAAACCACAAAGTCGTTGGCCTGCCTTTGACTCATTAGAATGCTAAAATTTCACACAGTCGAGTCTTAGGATAGTGTGCAAAAACGCTTTTGAATGTTATATATTGGAAGGGCAGTTCTGCATTTCAAGGGATGAGAAAAATGTGTAGAGGGGCATGGGCTAAGAATACTTGACTTTGAAGACAGTTGCTGAAAATATGTGCTAAGATATAGAACTCTGTCATCATCACTTGTGGAAATCTACAATTAAAAATTGACTAGGAAACTGCTCAGTATAAACTTGAGCGCCTTTTGCTTGCATCGGCAATCATCCAGCACAATTGTGACACGCAGATAGCTACGTTGCTAGCGAGCTATGCTAACGCTCCCAAAAATACATCATCCCTTTAGACAGGTTGCTTTAGAGCGCCTCGTGGTTGCGCAGAACAGTGAGGAAGGGAGGAGTTTTATTTATTTATTTATTTATTTATTTACAAGACTTGATAGAGACTCCAATGAGCAAATCCTCCCAAACAGCAAATGGATGGAGGATTCAAGTCCTGCGTTTATCCCGCAAAATATCAATGGGCAAAATTCTACCATTGTCACAAGGCAGCAGTATCAACGGCTGCCCCGCCCCTTTATTCTTTATTGGATCGTCTGTGCTCATGTCATCCACAATGGCAACGATGCTCTCCAGGATGCCCTCCATTTACTCTGAAAACGTGTCAGTGTTTTTCCATCCCTGCACTTACCCGCTCTGCCTGCCGGCAATAAGTCTCTGCTGGCCGACAAAGCGAACTCTTAGATAAAGCCAATATGATGTGAAGCTGTGCCTGAAAACTGCACTTGCTCCTCGCAGCCAAGAGCCAAGATCAAATTACCAAGCAAGCTTCTTTTTCTATAGTCAACCATTTCATTTAAACGTATTTTTCTGTGGATTGATACACTGGGGGGGAAATTTGTAAAAAAAACCATCAGTACATCTACAAGGTGTGACTCTTTTGCGACACCGGCCCATATTTTCACTCTATCGACAAAACAGTTCGGGCAGTAAGTGTTTGAGGTGTTACAAAAGTCCATGGGCATCACTCCTGTTGACTGTAAATGCAACATTGTGACGGGAGGGACTCCAGTCAAATCCCAGCCGGCGCATACAATTTGTTATGTTTAGTCAATAGCGGAGTTATTTTACAGGGAAGTGCAAGTGTCAACATACCTTCTTTGCTCTTTGGGATATCTTCGGAGCCCGGCACAAGAGCTTTTCAACCAGATAGTCTTTGTTCTGTGTGACAAATTAAACAGAAAACCTTCATTTGTAAATTGGGTCCTGGACAAACGGAAAACGATTTTGGATTTGAATCGCATCCAGTTGAAATCCGTGAGGTGGGTGAAGCGCAGAGGCGAGAATAGTCCGGACTAACTGGCATGAGTAGCTCAAAGTGGAGCTCATAAGTTTACATGCCCTGGCAGGATTTGTAAGGTGTGTACCATTCTTCAGATAAAACACATTCATATGATGTTTCATGGGATTCTAATGAAAATAGAAGGCAGTTCGGAATTGCACAATCATCGCGCAAAACGTAGCAATAAGGAAAATAATGAGCTGGTCCTTGTTCAGTCATCAGTCACATTTTCCCAGCAAATTGCCAGCATGTCACAAATTCTGTTAGGCTATGTAAATCTATGAGCACAAGTCTACTTTGTTCAAAATGGGGTGTGGGGTGGAGGGGGGGGGCTGCCTGTAAAACGCTACACCTATTTTTATGAGCAACGTAATGATCTAACATCTTAAAAGTTTGTTTTTATTGAACTTGCCGTTATTTTCTCTGCAGCCTGTTACACGGAATTGGTGGACGGAATTGCATCCATTATTATCGTTATCAGCTATTAGCAGCAAGGATAAGGGTATGCATAAAAAGAGGGACAACAAACTTGGAAGGGAGAAGAAAGAAAAAAAAATACCTTTGCCTTTTGGAAAAATTTGCTCTTCAAGAGCTCTGCAGCTGCAGGCCTGGAGAGAAGAATTGTTCGCATGTATTGGGGAAAATACTTCACAGCAGAGAGGAACTCGCTTTTAATTAAAAAGCCCTCCTCAGAGACTTTTCGCTTGAAAACCGAAGACGAGACCAACCTTTTGGCAGGATCCTTCTGAAGGCACATAGTTATTAGCTTCCTAAACGATTTGCCGTACTTCTTCAGCATTTCCTTGTCCTCGATACCCGTCTCCAGAGTGGGTGGATCGTTCTGCAGCGTCAACATTAAGACCTAAACAAAGGGCAGAAATGACAGCAAAGTTACAACAGGAAACCATTTTTACAGGAACTGCCGTGTGAAGTGCAAAGAGCAAGTTCCTCAAAGTTTTTGTTCCTGGTTCACAAAAAAGGGAGAATGTCTTTTGGCACATCGTTGTTGCTTGCGATGAAACTTCACGACAGACAACTTGGCAAAAGGGGGCGCAGAGTCCGGTGATGCGTTCACGAACGACACTGACCTTCATAGGGGGGTAGCGGTGATAGGGCGCAGAACCCGTCGCTAGTTCTATGGCCGTGATTCCAAAACTCCAAATGTCTGCTTTGAAATCGTAACCTCGTACCTGTGGGTCAAGAATTGGACAAAATATTGGTCAAATTACCTGGATTCATTTTTACGTTTTTTTGTTTTTTTTTTTTGTTTTTTTTTTTAAACGTACTTTATGCTAGCACAGTAAGAACCCATGCAAAAAAAGTAAATAAAAAAAATCTTAATGCTCCAAATCATGATTCACCGGGTCTTTCGAATCAGTTACGAAAACTCGACTCTTTCAATCAGGTTGATACTTTTTACGTTTTGTTTTTCTTAAATGCTTGCTGCCCCCTATTGGTTGAGAGAATGGTTTGCCGTTAAACAAAATCAGCAGTTAAGAGTTGAAACACAGACATTATAAAATACGGAATAGAATTCGTATAATAATGAGTTAAATGTGTCATAAGAAGCCATTGGGATTCACCTGTTCCATCACCTCTGGTGCCATCCAGCATGGCGTGCCCACAAATGTCTTTCGGACTTTGTTTCTTGTCATATCGCCCCCTGTGGCTAGGAATGCACTTACGCCAAAATCTGTCAAGACGAAACATACAAAAAAAAACGAATACTTCATCGGTGATCGAGCAGTGACTCCCCACCGCCAACGTCGGGTTTTCTGCAGCAAATTAGGCTGGTAAACAACGTGAGAGGGAGTTTAAAAGAACCTTTGGATGAACACAGGAGGAGAAATTTCATTGAAACATCCTATCAGCTGTAACGGGATTAAACATAACAGACTCCAGGTGACAGATGATAAGAGCAGGACATGTGCAACACACACACACACACACGCACACACACACACACACACACACACACACACACACACACACACCTGCAATCTGAACAGATCCATCTTCACCCAGTAGAATATTCCCGGCTTTCACATCCCTGCGGCCAGCAAAACACAACACAGGCAGTCAGTCAGATGGCAAAAACACGCGGCAGAGCATCGATTCTTCCATCCGCGGAAAAAGGGGCCACAAACAGCTTGCCCGGGAGGTGGTTGGTGGGGGCGGGGGGCATAAAAAGGTCAAGCCTGGTTCGCGGTGACCTTGATGTCCAGGAAGTTTACGTCAGAGCTCCATACAACGCGGATCAATAAAGGGTGGGGGGGTCGCTTGAAACTTCAGCTATTGAATCGCATATTTGACATAGGACGTATCGTATCGTAATGAGCACAAATTCCAAAAATAGTAAATGAGTAGTATCCGATATTCAGAGAAAAAAAAAGTGTTACCGGTGGATCTGTCCATTTCTGTGCAGGTAGTCGAGGCCTTCGAGGACTTCTTTCAGGATGGAGGCAATTATTGGCTCGTCGAGATTTTTGTCTTCTTCTTTGCTTGTGTGCTTGATAATGTCCAGCATGGAGCCTAAGAGCCATAAAATATATTCATACTCGGAAGTGTGTCTAGCCCAAGTTTATACGGAACAGGAACTCGTGAAAAAGATGAATAAATCCTGACTTGGACTCGAATGAAACGAGCACCTTTTTCTACAGTGCCAAGTGTGATCCGTGTACTCTGCCCAATCGATGCCTTTGACACAAAGCTAAGTTTGTATAAGTTCCTTCGAAACGCGGCTCTTGTCGTTTACTTAGCGTTCAGGCTCCTGATCCCTGGGGGAGAACTGGTTTGTCAAATGGGATCCAACTGTTTACTGCCACCAATGTATATACAGTATATATATTCAGGTCAAGTGCAATGACAATACACGATACAACGTATCCCTGTAGACGGCGGCGTTACAGCTCTTTGAATTTGAGATCAGCACAGCTTTTGAGTAGAAGATCAGTGGGGTGAATCTCGGCTAGTCACATCAATTATGACGAGGAAAAATGCCAACGTGTTCTATGTACGTGGGATTGTGATAAAAGATGACAGGTCGCGGAGGTAATGAGGAGCACCATTTAAAAAAAGCCACCGGCGTTCAACTCGAGCCAGGCGGTAAAGCAGCCCCGCTTGAGGCGTGCATCTATAAGTACAACCCGAATTTTGTCGTTTCAAAGTTTGGGGTGTTGCGCAAGCAAAAATCAAAAGGGTCGAAGTCTCTGTTCCACTTCAGCATGGAAAACAGCTGATCGCTTTTTTAAGACTGCTGTTTTTTTTTTTTGGAGGGGATAAATGGATCTCATGTAGGCACTTCATCTAGCCTGAATGTCAAGTGCCGCCTAACAGGTGACGCTTACCTCCACTCAGGAGCTTCATGACTAACCACAGTTCATCCTTCACCACAAAGGAAGTATAATAAGTGACAACATTGGGGTGGTTGCATTGGCTCATTGCTTGAATTTCTTTCTGTCGGGAGAAAAAAAAAAAGACATTTCATCCACACGGTGTCCACAAAGTCTGGGTAAGAGCAAGATTTCACTCTTTATCCCTTCGAGTTCAACTGAATTTTGCATCGAATTTTGCATTGAAAATTATGGAAACCATGTTGAAAATATTGTTTTTGTTTTAAGCATGCAGGTTTTTTTTTTTTTACCCAGACTTTATGGACACCTTGTACATGCTCATACAAAAACTGAGGTTCCACCGTACATGTTCAGATGATCAGAGGGACATGTGGCGAGGGAGACACAAGGACCAGCACAACTCAAACAGACATAGCCCGTATTTATTTTTACTCACCAGCAATTCGTCCATGCTGGTCTGGCATTTTTCCAGGTTGATTCTCTTGATGGCAACGCGCTCCTGTCTGGGAGAACACATTGCTGCTTGCACCACCGCTGTGGCCCCGCTACCTGAATCAAACCATCCAAAGAGCACAATTAGACTGACACGCACATCTAGAAGAAAATGGGTGATCCGGACTTTTTTTTTTTTTGTTATGTCTAAAATAAATTTAAAAGAAGTTTAAAAGAAATCAGGCCACGAAGTAGTGAAGTTCTTCACACCGAGGGACACCGTGACTGTGACACATCGCTTGTCAACTGCGAGTGACAGGTCAGCGGAAGTAATTGAGCATGTGTGATCAAAGTGGTTACCAGTTGCTCATGAGAACAGACATGTGCTGCGCAGCGCGTGAGTGTGCGCGGGGCGGCGAGGGGGCTTTTTTTTTTCGTTCACAAGTTCCAGAGAGCAGCGGACAGCTGTGGTGCTGTTTCTTATCTACAACGATAAGACGTGTCAGATGGAGGGAGAAGGCCTCTGCCAAGACTATTCAGGCAACTTCCGTTTGAGCTGTCAGTAGTCATTTGAGATGATGTATCTTTTGTTTTACTATTACATAACACAATGATGGGATTGATGGGATTGAATTAACACGTTATATACACTTAGCGGACTTCGGTATGTAGATAATATGCAAAGTCTGAGACTGAGCGACAAAAGCTGCCTTCCAAATATAATAATGCATCTTAAGGGAAGATTGTGAAACAAGTACACCTACTCAGAGCGACAGCTGGTTCTAATGTTTGGGCTGTTTTGCGAGGTTAAATGTTACGTGACCAATTAATTATAAACAGATTTGTGTGACAAAGTGGCGCTCTTCACAGCAATACTCGAGGAATGCCTCATAATAGTGACTCAAAACTAACAATGCTGTTTGTATTTCATCTTTGTGGAAGCATTTTTTATTAAATAGTTAATTTTTTTTATGTCACTGGATTGTCCAACTGTTACTAAGTTTGTGCTTGGTGCTGAATATTACTAAATCAGAGAGCAATAAAAAAAATAATGTGCTTGCTATAATGTTGGGTTTTTTTTTCCTTTATGTATGTGTAGATTCTAGTCATCCAGTTCACAATAATAAAGTTGAACTAAGGTTGGACTCTTACTGTTGAAATTGTGTTTTTTTTTAATACGGTACAGTATCTGAAAGCCCTTTACTGTTAAAGACCCACATGTCAAGAAACCAGTTGGTGTTTTTTTTTTTTTTTTTTATTACTAAGACTAATTAGCAATGCTACGCATAAGGAGCATTTCAAGAGAACGCATTGCAATATATGACCGTTAATAATCATTTATATTCATGGTGAGCTCGGGTTTAAATCTCTCCGCTTGCATCGCTGTCATCGTCATAAGGCGATCGCATGGTCCACTTCGTGCCGTCATATATAACAATGATGTCATTAACGCGCAGCATCTGCCATGTATAAATTAGTCATCGAACAAAGTGGGCGTAATGCCACGACTCAGCATCTGCGTGCGTGCGTGCGTGCGTGCGTGCGTGTGTGTGTGTGTGTGTCAACGACAGGAAAGCTGTGAAGTCGACGTGTCACGGATTTTCGGGGAAACCGTTTCGCCAGTTGCACGTGTAACCGGTAGCTTGTTATGAGTTCACATCCGCAGTGTCGACTTCACGTGGAGGGTGGGGGGGAAGCCGGTGGGCCTTCCAATTCGCGTTACTAGCAGCTGGTAATACGCTGATAATGATATAAACGTGTCTGTGAAAGTACAAAGCCCCCGTCGTACTAACCAATGACTTCCTGTAGCTCGTACGACTCCCTGGTAATTGGCCAGCTCGCCGTCTGTGGCGGCGGCTGCGGGACAGGAACCGGGGCTTCGCCTTGGTCCGCCATGATGGTGGTGGTAGTGGTGGTGGTAGTAGTGATGCTGCGCCGGCTAGCCGCCTCTCGCTGACACGACCGAGTGACAGACAAGTAGAGAGAGGGAGCGAAAGCGCGAGCGAGCGAGTCAGCTTTGAGCTCCCCTCCTCAGCTAGTGTCAGCTGGCAGCCGCAGCCGAGCAACTGCCGCCTGCGAGGAGAGCAACCCGGAAAATAAAAGGGCTAGTCAAGCGCGCGCGCTCGCATACACACGCACACGCACACGCACACGTCAAGCGCGTTGCGGTGTTGCCAAATCTGTCACGCTTCCGCGCTCGCTTTTTTTTTTTTTTTTTTTTTTTTTTTT